TTCTTAAAGCCATTACCATATCACTGCTAGGAGTACTACGCACTACGCAGTCTCTTTTTAGCTTCTACATATAGGTTGGAGCAGGTCAATGACAGAATGACTCTTACACAGATTCTGGTTATTCAATGATCGCTTTCTTCCGAGTTTCTAATRAAATTGTCTCTTTTTGTTGTATCACAAATCGTCCAATTCTGGAAAAAGCTTTTCTCTCAAATCGATAAATCATCATGGATGATTTCGTCCGAAGCCCCATTCAAACATTGAACCGTGTGAACGTCGAACGATGCAACATAATTTAGTCGTATTGGGAAATAGAAAACTATACCTTTTAAAATTAATTATACAAACTTGACTCACATTTTAATTTAATTGTGTCAATACACTAGGTATTTTTACAATGTTAGGTACTATATACGATTAATATGATTATAATATTATGTTTACGATAATATTTACATTATTACAATGATTTTTTTAATTTTGGTTAGCTTATAAATCTAGGTCAGAATTTGACATATAGACAAGTCTTCTTTAGGTTCTATATAGTAGAATATCCTGTGGTAGCCGAGGTAAAGTCTTAGATTAATGGATTTGAAGTAAAGTGCTCCGTCAACTTTGTGAAGTTTTTTGTGTAAATTTTTAAATTGTTGTGTTATCCTGGTAGATACGTGTGATGGGCCCTTATCATTGTGTAGTTGTTTGTTTTTCATGAACCACGGAGCTTTTAGGGTTATTCTTAAAAACGTATTTTGAAGGGTTTTTAATTTTTTAATCTTTGTTTTCGAGGCAACACTCCAGACTGGGCACACGTAAGTTACTAACGGTCTTATTATTGCTGTATATAAGAGTAGAGAGCATTTCATTTGTATGGTTATTAAAATTTAAAAGATACAGTATTTGCAGACTAGTGTACTATTGGCTTAATTTTTTTGTTATTGTGTATTTTCGAGCTTAATTTGCCATCGAGGTGCAGTCCCWGATATTTTACTGAGTCGTCTTTGACGTTTGTTGTTCAATTTGATTTCCTGGTTGTTAATTTGTAGTAATATCATAAATTATACTTATATACTTAGTAATATTATACTTATTATAGAGTATGTACTAACGCCTTTGACGACTCGTCTCCGGCCTCCGCTAAGAATCGTTTTTCGTAGGTATACAATGATTGAACACAATTATTACACTTATTACAGTGACATCTCTAGACTTTAAAATGTACAGTAGAGTTGTTAACTAATTTTAATGAATTGAAATATGAAATATGAAAATGAATAGAGCATAAAAAATATCATTATTAGTTAGTAGTTACCTATTGACTATTAAAGATAGAACACTTTGG